TACAGAGAGAGAGAGAGAGAGAGAGAGAGAGAGAGAGAGAGAGAGAGAATTTTTTAATATTTATTTTTTATTTTTTGGCGGACACAACATCTTTGTTTTTATATGGTGCTGAGGATTGAACTCAGGCCACACGCATGCCAGGCGAGCGTGCTACCGCTTGAGCCACATCCCCAGCCCTGGATAAAGGGTTTTAATTACATCTGATGGGCTGAGCAGGTGTGCAGCTGGTGGACCATCTGATAACATGATGCTACAAAATGCTTTCTACCAGCATGTAGAGCCAACACCACATATTCCAAGACCACTTAGCTCTAGCCCTAGGCACTGCACTGACTGAAACCAGTTATTCATGCAGAGCCCCTGCCCATTTTGGAAGGGCCAGAAGTGCAAGGAGCCCTTACCTACAATCATGCCAACCTCACACTGGCGGTCTTCATAGTAGCAGGAGATCATTGTGGCCACAGTGTCATTCACCATTGCCACCACATCCATCTCAAAGTCCTGCCAAGAAGCACAGATGGGGCTGCAGTGATAGGGCTGGGGAGAGGGTCCACTGGTGCAGTGAAGAGGGGCCCAGGGCCTCCCTCAACTGGCAGATGAAGGTGTTCTCACCCCTCTCCTCTTGATGGCATCTCGCAGAAGCCCGACAATGTTGTTTCCTTCTGCTCCAGAGGCCTTGAAGCCCTTGGTCCAGTTGAGAAGGATGCCCTGTGGGGAGAGGAAGGTCTTGTGGTTGCTGGTGTTAGACAGAGAACCATGGCCTTAGACTAGTTCCTTTTCAGGTCACAGGGACATGTATCTCACTTTACAGTTGAGGAAACAAGTTTTCAGTATCCACACAGCTTTGATAAATGTTGGAAACAATTTTCCATAAATATCTCACATTTCTGCAGGGCTAGGTCCCAGCCAATTTAAGAATGTGATGTGTATTTTTTTGTATGTGGTGTCAGGAATTGAACCCAGGACCTCGAGCATATTAGATAAGCCCTCTACCACTGAGCTACACCCCCAGCCCAAGAATGTGCAGTATACCCTAGAGTAAAGATAGGTCCCAAGGGGAGCAACGGTATAAGATCAGAGTTCCTCTCCTGTAGCAGAAGAAGTACCACCCAGCCCTTTCTGTGTCTCTGAGGGAGCTGGGGCCTCGAAAAACCATGTGAGATGTTGCTCCAGCTGTTGCTTTTGCCTTGAGCTATGACCTTGCTTTGTTTCAGACCCAGAGGCCTCATGTTTTATGTATGTGTATATGTATAGAGACATATAAAATTTATGTGTCATGTA